CGGTCCCGGGTCCCCCCCTTATTTAGGCAACGAGCGCTTCTGAATGCCTCAAGTGTTGAAGACTTTTTTTTGATGGGGATTATTTACTGGTGTCCCTCACGCGCTGGGTTTAGTCACGCTGCCAGAACTATGTCAGATCTGTTTTACTGAGGGCCACTGCTTAAAGGTTAACGCGGCTCCATGTGGGCAGGCTTTCTTATCGCGTGAGGTTCCACCTGCTGCTGGCTGAGCCACGGAACAGCAAAGTGTACGTGGTTGGCACCGGCACGGGAGAGTCGCCTCCGGTGCTGCTGAGTGCCTGCCGGGCAGCTGCTCCTGGGCTTGCAAGGGGTTGGAGTTTGCAGAGAGGGAGAGCAGCCCGACAGGCAGCCTTCAGCCCTGCACCGGAGCTGCCCAGGTTCTGAGACGCGTGCACCGTGCCTGCAAGGCTGTCATCTGTGCAGATGTGGCAGAGTTGGTGCGTTGGCTTGAGGTTTGTAGGAACAACCCGAGGTGAGTTTCCTTGCTCGAGCTGACAAAGCAAACCTCAGAACCAGAAGGTGGTTCTGTACCAGATCTGGAATGCCTGCCTCTGGAACACCGCTGTGCTCCTTCTGCAGGGGTCCTCTAAGTGCCTCAGAGACATGACCCAGCCTTCTCTGGGACTGCCCTTTGCCCTTGCCCCACGTTTACCTAAGAGCTGTGTGCCCACAGTGGAGAGGATCCCCTGCAGAGAAAGCGGGGCAGATGGTGCAGGTGCCTGCAGCGAGGCAGGAGGAGCGGGCAGAAGCTCGCACCAAACCGTGCTTCAGGGAGCTCTGTCAGGCTTGGGAATGTCAGAGGCAGCTCTGCAGCGTCACGGGGACAGTTGTGCTCACAAAGCCTTTGGAACACTGTGGGCATCTTCCTACTCCCCATGGCAGGTACCCCGGAGATAAACAGCGTGCAGTCAGTCACCTGAAACACATCCCAGCTCCCAGGAACAAAACGCATTGAGCTTGTATCGCTTCCTTTCCTTCTTCTCTTTAACGAGAAGGAGCACTTATGTCGTGCACTACCACTGGCTTCCTCAAAGTTGTGTTTTTCCTGAGAGACACATCATCAACAGGGCTGGTTTTTTCAATTCAGCTTGCTTAGCAGCACTGTGCTCAAATTCTTTGGTTTTGCTCTGTTATGTGAAGTAATTTTCGGAGTGGTTAGGAAACTTGTTCAAAAAGCAGTTTCCTTGCATCTGGCAAGAAGGGTGTCTGGTTTTTCTCTTCTTTGCTGGCTGCAAGCTCTGTACAGCAAATTCAGCCTCATCCTCAGCCTAATCCAAGTCTCCTCTTCCCTTTATTAAATTCTGCTTCTCTGGTTCCACGTTTATTTCTTTAAGGAAATGTGGGAGTTGGTCCACCGAGATGGTGCATTACCACGCGCACCACAGTGGTTATAAAACCTCAGAATGTCTACAACATGCGTATTAAGAACAATTAGTTTGTGGTAGAGCTCTGTGGCTGGTGTAAATGGCTTGTGCTTTGAGGAGCATACTCCAAATAGTACTGGGGAGCCTTTGGGTAGTTTAAAATGTAAATGTGTGCGTGTTCATCTAGCTCTAAATCTGGAATTAATGAACCATCATGTGTGCAGAAGCAAAGAGAAAGGATTGCCTTCATAAACTTTCCTGCTTGCAAAAACTAACGAGTAAGATACATATCTATAATCTCACTTGAATTTTGAAGAAGGGAAATGAAAAACCCAAGGAAGGCAGCAGCTCACAGGTGCACATAACGTCGTGGTGCTGTATCATTTTCTCATTTTCCCATTATCAGAGGCACAGCTGCCCAGTGTTAGGCCAGCTCCCCCCTCCCGTGGAGTAATCCCTTTTGGACAAGAAAGCTTAGGGATGTCTAAATGCTGTGTCACTCCATGCCCTTCCTGAAGCTCAATAGATTTAAGATAAAATAGAGCAGAGAGAACGTGTGTCTGAATCAATCGTGTTAACAGATTTATATCTTGGTCCGTCTCACCAGTAAATTATGATCCAAAAACCTCGCTACATTAAACAGAATTATTGCTCAAGGCATCAGCAGGTCCATGACCCAGGTGCTGACCAGACAAGACACCAGTCACCAGAGCTCAGCCTCAGACAGCTGCCTTTGGGAAGAGAAAGTGCAAAAAGCCAAACTGACTGCAGCTTACTCAGAAGAATTATGGGCTGTGCCCTCAGATACTGCTGCTCTACAGGCAAGTCTTTCTGTTTTAGCCTAACAGGCAAAGCTGCTGAGATGCTGCTGCCTGTGCCAGCCGGCCCTCTCTCAGTTCCCCAAGTCACTCTTGAATCCTGTTAGCTAACGTGAGGCAAATCCATCGGAGTGTGAAAGTCTGGGAGATCTTCAACTCCATAAAACCAAATAAAGCTGAGACCTGGGTTTGTTCCTGCACTCAGGGGAAAGCCGTCACACGAGCCCAAGCAGAGCAGCAGCTACAAGAGAAGCCACACGGGAGGGACGCAGAGAAAGCCCAGCTTTCTGTCTTCATTATTGAAGCGTGTTGGTTTAGCACTGGAAAACTCCAGCTTTGCTGAAGTTATTCCAAACTGGGTATTTCCAAGCTGTGCCCGTGGCTCAGGTGGCTGGCTGACTGCTACAGGACTGAGAATGCAGGAAACCAAGTGGAAAACGAAGTTTTTCAAGCCATATAAGGCTTTACCTTTCATCTCAGTGGGAGCCCTTGTAGCAGCCTCACAGGTACTAACTGCAGATGGGTACACTGGTGGGTGTTAGCTGTACAGACAGAAATTAGAGTGGGTGCTTGTGAGGCAGGCACCGATCTGGAGTCTTCTCTAATCCTAGCCTGTTTGGGAACAGCAAAATTTCCCTCTCCTTTCCAGAAGGACAACGTGCCCCTCAGCTCTGCTGGCTCTGTAGAGCAGAAGGCCCTTGGACAGACCATCTGAATCTGCAGAGGGTTTAAATAACACAAAGCAGAGTGTTTGTGCTGTAGAAAATACCTGCAATGACACATGTTAGCCTGGTAGAAACTGCCTAATGCTGAATTAAAAGAGTTTTTCTTTCAAGCTGTTGTCTACTGAAAGCCCCGAGCCAGCCTGTGCTGGAGAGGATGTACGGGGAGGTCCTGCAGCAGCTCTGGCAGTTTGGGTCAGCAGCCTCCTGATTCCAAGTTTTGATTGATTAGAACAACTTATTTTGAGAAACTAAATTACTTTTCAGATAAACACCTTAAAAATCAGCTCCTTTCTTTACAGACCTGCACCCTGGCCTTGTTTTCCACTGCTGCACAAGTGAAAGCATTTGCTGTGTCCAGCGAGACACGTACCAGCTGTGCCCTTACAGCCCCGTCCCCTGCACGACACACCAAGCTGGAGAGCACCGCTGTCACAGAATCACAGAATGGCCTAGGCTAGAAGGGACCTTGTGCTTTTCACAGTCCCCGCAGGCTCTGAGATACAACAGGAAGGCAGATCCCTTCTGTCTCCATCTTGTTGGGCATTTCCAGAGCTGCAAGCAAGGCACGGAATCGCTTGCCGTCTCCTCTTCGCTTATCAGAGAACAAGAAGCTATTTCCAGGCGTGACTCATGCAGGGCGCTCGGAGCCTCCCGCCTGCCTTCCCCCTCTCCTCCACTGATGACAGCAGCCCTGCGGTGGGTGGGCTGTTTCCAGGGCCTTGCTGAAGGCTCTAAAGTCAGCCAGGATGAATCTGGGCTGGCGGAAGGATCATCTGTTACTACAACACGTGGAGTCAGTCCTGCGCAACAGGAGTACTTGGGTGCTTTGTAGGAGCCGTGCGACCAGTCAGCCAGGCTTCCCCACCGCCTGTGCTCACCCTGGGCAGCCAGGCCCCGTCTGGTGTAACCACCTCCTGGTTGTCTGGTTTTTTCCTCCACGCATTCAACGTTTATTAGTTGTCATCAGGGGTTTTTTTCCACTTGGGGCTAAGGGAGTTTTGGTGGGGAGTACGAAGGGTGCTCCTCTGCCTTGCTTTTTGACATACCTGGAATTATCTCAGGCTGCAGGGGCATCCCTGTGCACACCTGGCAGGACATTCACCTACATCTCGTCCGTGCTTTTCTCCTGAAAGATCTCCCAGGGATGCAGAGGCCAGTGCCCTGCTGTTCCCCTCTCAGCTCACAGCTTCTCGGGGTTTGGGCCCCGTCCCAGGGGGGATCTCAACACCAGGACATTTCTGCTGTCTCACAGGAACATTTGTTTTCCTTGTTTTCATTCTAGTCCTTTCTGACATCCTAATTAATTTGTCTCTGCGCCAGGCTTTGATCTATTAATTTGTTTTTATAGCCTTCAGATACTGGCAGATTCTTATCAGACTTCTTGCTCTCAGCGAGTTTCCTAGACGAACACCGGAATGTTCTGCTGTCATATTGGCTAGCGGTGCGTCTGGATGCCTCCACCAGCCCTGTCGAAGTTGAGGGCAGGGAGGGGTGCCAGCAGGGCTTGGTACCGCAGTGACCCACGCCAGTGGGTGGAGGGACACCAGTGCTGGTTGTGGTGGGAGCTGGAATGGTGGCACTGCCTGCATCTATGCACGCTAGTAATAAACCACCCCTGCAACGTGTTAGTGATAATCAATAATAAAATTGGCAAATTGAAAACAATTTCTGAAACTCTCAAAGCCTGATGGAGTCAGTTGGGTGAAGTGTGATTTCCCATGAAAAAACAGCAAGGAATAGCAAATAGCACCTGAGGTGCCCAGGTAAAGCTGCCATCCACCTTAGGCCAGCTTAGATCAGGGGCGTTAAACGTGACAGACAACTGGTGCCCTTTGCCCAGCACCCCTGACCAAGGAACCTTAAGCACACCCTGAGAAGGGCTGGACAACACGGCAACACGTACGACAGCTTGGGGAGCAACGCGGTGATTTACTGCAAACCAAAGTCGCTACAGGCAGAGCACAACCTTTCACTTAGCACCCTATTAATAACTGCCGAGTTTTCTCCCAGCCTCTCAAATGAAAAATTAAGTATGAAAGTGTTAGATTACAAATTTATGAAATGTGAAATTGGTTCTTGCCCCATGTTGGGCACCGATTTATATCTGTCAAGGTTTAGGGCTGGCACAGCCACTGGACTGTGATCCGCCAGCACCCTCCAGGGGAGGGGAACAGGGGAACCAGGGAGAGGGACTGCAAGGCTGCGAAAGAAAACTTGAGCCAGCATAACAGAAAAGAAAACAATACTAACCAAAACAACAAAGATGTTGACCTGTATACAGATATATAAAAATATATAAACATATTCAAAGATACTAGAGAATATGTCAATTAGGAACCTGCACCCTCTGAATGGCAACTTGGTCTTTGGTGGAAAAGTCCCAGCCTGGACTCAGCAGCAGAGCCCAGAAAAAGAGAAAAGGAAAGTTTGTACCTGGGGAGGCAGGGGAAGGTGACCTGTCCCAATGAGTGCTCCTCTGCAGCGTGGGATCAGCAGCAGGGGGGATGAGGAGCAGCCAGCACTGGTCCCCAGCACAGCACCCCAAGGACCCCAGGGCTCTTCTGAGGGGCCCTTTATGCTGAGCCTGTGGGCAGGAACGGCCGCCCTCCCCTCCTGCGGGCACAGCTGCCACACACACACTGATTGTTCCAGGTGAGCCTGGGGCTCTCAGACCAGGACAATCCCAATCCATGCCCTTGTCCTCCACCCTCAGTAGCTGCTAATTCACACGGCAGGTCCAGGTGGATGTGCTTTTGCTCCTTGGCATGTACACGGCCGGCCATAAAGGATGTTTCACACCATGGAGGGCACGGAAGTCTTTGAAATATTTGGTTCTGCTTGGCTACAGCCGTTCGGGTGCAGCATCTCTTGCAAGCGCTGGAGGAGGAAGCCTTGTCTGTGAATAGCAGCAGGGCCTCATCCTGCCTCGCTGGGATCTGTCCTGGTGCCACTCTCCCACCCTGGGCAAAGCACAGCTCTTTCCTGCTTGGGAGGCAAAGTGAAACCAGGTTAGCAGCAAACACCAGCTGCTGTGGGCTTATTCCGGTAATTTTAGCTTTCCTGTCTTCACTTTTGGCACTTTAAAGTAGGTACTCCTGCGCATCAGCTGCGTGATTCTGGCTGTCCAACCTCCTCTCCCAATTTAATTTCTCTAACGCAATTGATGCTTAAAAAACTTCTGCTCAGTGCTCTTACGATTTTATCTGGCATCGTAGTCAACCACTGTAGGAATTAATCGAGTGGTAAAATAATAGGAAATGTATTAACAGGTGAAATATTCGCAAGCAGTTCAGTATCCTCATTATTAATTCAACACAGAACCTCATGTAGATCCCCGTGGTGAAACTGCGCCGTTGGTGTATAGAAGAGCGCTATTTCTGAGGCGTGCTGTGAGGTCGGATGCCTCCCCCGTGCTTTATTGTATATCATTACAAGAAACGCTTCAGCATATTTGTCGTTAAGAAACACCAGGGTTTTCCTGCCAGTCCCACATGAAAATCGGTTTTAGGCTTGCTCTGAGATTTGCAAGGATTTGTGAGCCAACAGAGGAGAGAGGAGGACAAAAGCAGAAGGGGGTGCCCGTGGCTGTAAGGCGGCTCTGAACTAGGTCCAGGGTCCATCCAGGGAGTCCCTCCAGGGGGTGAGCCAGAAACAAAGCCGTGACGCGGGTTCAGGTCTCAGACAGGATCAGAGTGTGACCTGCAGCACACGTCCAAGGTCCATCGATCTCTCCATCAGGAGGCAGCTGGGACGTAACTCAGGCAGGGGGTGAAGCTTAAGTGGGGCCCGTGGGCAGAGGGTGTGGGTCCCGGCTGGGGCTGGTCAGGGAGAACCTCAGGGTGTCCCCTTGGCCCTGAGAGCCCTGACACACGACCTGCTTTTTCATCTCAAGAGGACATGACTGGTGGAAGGAACCAGAACCGTTTTTATCTGGGTGGTAGTGGTCACGCTCTAGGCAAAGATCAAGTGAGAGGTGGGCCCTGAGTCCCCACGTTCCCCAGTCAGGAGGAGGAAGGGCTGTTTCGGGTGGGTGCACATGGACATCTCTGTTAAAACTGCTTCGTCTCCTCCTGGCCCGGGAGATCGAGGCTGCCTTTTAGCAGCCGTGGGGCAGAGCAGAGCTGGGAGGACCCGGCTGTCAGTGCCTTCTCCTTCAGTTGTGAATCTGGAAGGAAAAAAGTTAATTCCTGATAATTAGAATGAGCTCCTCAGCCCTGCTCTTTCCCCTCCTGAAAACCCAGCCCACCTCTGCTGCTTCACCTGCCCCTTGCTTTTCTCAGCGGGGAGCACAAGGACCTCTCTCTGTAGCTCCATCCGTGCCGTGCCAGGAGCTGAGGAGCTGGAAAGGCTTCGTGGCTCAGCGCGGTTCGTGGTCAGCACAGCTGGAAGCCTCTGCAGCGTAAAGCGCCACGTCCTCGTTGCAAACCTGCCTCCCCTCCTCCAGGCTCCTGCACCTCTGTGAGTTGTTCCATGCTCATTAATGCTGCAGCAGCCTTTGAAGAGGCAGCACCATCTCCCAAGTCCTGTGTTTGCCTCCGGTCAGAGTTCATGTCCGTTTTGGTTTTTTTCCCTGTGTGCTGCATTTTGTGATTTAGCAAGAAGGAGGGCTAATAAGACTTCGCTTCTCGGAAAGACCTACCCTCAGTTTTCTGTTCTGCAGTTTTAATGAATTTGCAGTGCCTCGTTATGTTTACCACATGTCCCGTCGTTAACGTGGCAGGGCTGGCCAGGACAGCAAACACGACGCTCGCTGTGGAGCCATGTAGTGCTTCCCACGGCAGTAATTGGTGTGTGCTGTGCCCCTTGGCCTTGGCAGAAATCATGTTCCTGAGCTGTTCTCTGTCATCACTTCATCATCTTTGTGCTTGATCATTGTGTTCTGGTAGCGACCAGAGCCCCTCGCCGTGAACCACGGTTTTGTACAAGGACGCACAGTAAGAAAAAGCTCTTTATGCTCTGAAATGCTCAAAACACAAAATCAAAGTGCAACGATTCTTGGCCTTCCTCAGACGGTGCTGTTAGGCAATGCTTCTAACAAACCCTTTCTGTAGGGCAAAGAGAAAGCAATTAGGCTCCTGAAAGGCTTATTTCATTAGGAGCTTTATTAATCTGTGTCACAAATACAAGCACGGGACCTTTGCCAGCAGTGATGGAGTGTTGCTTTGCCTAATGGGTCATAAAGCAATAAGCACTGAAATGCATTAGTGCGTTAGTCTGGGGTGCGTGGCCAAGGAGTAATGAGAAATCTCGAGCAGCAAGTGTCTCAATAAAACATTAGCAAGGTCTGGCAGTGTTGACATCAAGGGTTTCGAGATTTGGGGTCAAGCTCTGACACTAATGCATGAGGAGATGCTGACGCCGTGGCTGAGCTTGCAGTAACCCGAGCGTAGCGTTACCCTGGCAGGTGGGGCAGCCAGAGCTCGTTCTGAGCAGCGTGACTCAGGGTGTGGATGGGATGAGCTTACAGGTTAAGAGGCTTTTATTCTGCAGCTGCTTCCCCAAAGAGACATTTTGGATGTCCTCGCTCATTCCAACCCCGCTGAGTGGATCTGGGTGCGAGCCGTGGCTGCTGCAGGCAGGGACA